AAAAAAAATATTATTGTATTAATAATTTTTATGAAAAATATATAAATATTAGCAAATTTTTAATAAAGAATATATGAACTTATAATGGAATGATATTTTTGTTTTTTGCTTATATAATTACGTAGGAATAAAAAAAAAGTATAATTATGTGTTAAAAAATATATTATGTTAATTATTTTTTAATAATATTTATATCATTTGTAATTTCACATTATACTCATATTTTCCCTATATATATTATAAACGTAAATGCTTTATAGCCAATATAGAATAATTTCCATTACATATTATTAATATATATTCATTTATGCTTGTAATCATTTATGAAAAATATTAAATCACATTTTTTTTCCAGTATAAACTTGTATATTTTTTATAATAATATATATATTTTTGTTAATTTGTATACTATATGTTCAAAAATTTTTATGCATTATGATTCTATAGGAAGATGTATTTATCCCTATAACATATAATTTCATGCGTTTTGAAAAATTTACATTTTTAGTAGGTAAAAAAAAATTATATATAAAATTATCATTAAAAGATAAAAATATAAAAAACAAATCTTTAAATATTTTTCTTCTGAAGAATATTTTATATATTTTTTATATGTTCTGTTTTATATTATATATTATATTTTGAGCATTTTTATTATATGTTTCATTTTCATTATAATATTTACTAGGCATTTGAAATAGAATAAGATATAATTATTTTTAAATTACCTATAATTAAGTATTGAAGTTTTGTAAAGTAAAATATGGGTTTTCTCTTCCATATATATCATTATACATAATTATAATTGTAGGTAATAAATTAATCTAATCAAAGAAAAGAATACATGTTTATAAAATACATAAGATAAAAATAATTCTAAATAAAGGTTGGGTATTCATATTTTAAATAAAAAAATAAAATATTACATATTATTTAAGTATAAAAGATTCATGAAAACACAAGTTAAACTAATACAATGTATATATATTATTTAATAAAATAATAATTTATATTCATTAAAAATTGTCATACACAAAGGATAATATTGATCATGTTATAGATAATTAGGAATGAGTTATTCATTTTTTGATTAATAATTAATAAATCATGAATTCCAAAATATTATATTCAAAAAAATGTAAAATAATTGATAAGCCCTGTTATTGTTGTTCATTCCGGTGTTTTTGCACTTTATAAATATATATTATACATGTACTATTAAATTCAGAATTAATAAATCTTTATTAAATTTAAAGATGTGCAAGAAAATATTAATTATAGTGCACTTACATGGATCCATAATACTTCTGATATAATAGTTGTTTATTATATATTCAGTTTAATAAATATAAAAAGTGCCATTATTGTTCTTCATTGAGAAATACTAGTTTGAAGAATTATGTTCATAATAATTTATTCCATATATAATAATCATAGAAAATATACATATAAAGGAATAGAATAACATATATTCGTGAACAACACAAAATTGAAAAAAAATATTAAATTATATAACATATCATGTATGTAATATTGAATTAACATTTAAATATATCTTTTATTATATAATAAAATATCAGGAATTAAAAAGTATCATTATCTTAATGTAAAATGAAATATATAGTCTTTTATAATAATTATATATTTGTGAGTATAATATTACATATAATCATGATAAATATACATCCTCTATGAAAAACATTATGTTAAAAAATAAATATATAATATATATTTAAGTTATATATATTAATTATTATATAAAAACTTCTTATCATACATGTTCGCAATAAATGTACATAAAAATACCTATTTCTAACATAATCTATGTATTATTTATATATGTCATTTAAGAAAATTTCCTTAATTGATTCACAAAACTGTCTATTAATAATTATAAAAAAATAAATAGATTTTTAAACACTAAAATTATGAGAGAGACGAGCCAGATATATGTGAACTAATGATAAAAAAATTCATGAACTTAAAATATAGATTTTAATAAATTATATATTACTATATGTAAACCTAAATCATAATTACAAATTATTTATATTATTAAGAGTTTATTGAGCCCATGGAATATATTCATTTTTTTAAATTATATAGAATAATTTATTTATTCGCATAATTAATATTTTTGAATTGTATTTCCTTTTCATTAATATTATTGACTATATTAATTAAATGAATTACAAAATATGGCTTTAAAATAAATATTCAAGTTCTTTTTGTATTATATGTAAATAAAAGTAATATGCGAAACCAATTTTTATTCTTATATTTATGCATTTATTTTAGTATCCTATTAGTATATAATTATAAAATATATTTTATTTTTATTTTTTTAAAAATATAATGTCAAGAAATGTAAAAAATAAATATAAAATTTATATCTTTTGGAAAAACCGAATAACATATTATAATTGACAATAATTTTATTGAAACTTTTACATATTTATTATGTACTTATATATATAAATTATATACATCTTATATATCTTTTAATAGTATTACACATTAGAAGATTATATATTTTATAAAGAAATATTCGATACAACATTTGGAACTGAAGTAAATACAGATGACATTAAGATATTTCTGAGCCCCAAATATAGATCTATTGAAAGCGCTATACGGAATAGATTTATTGATGGTTGTAAAAGGATAAAATTATATTTTGAGTATTTTAAAAAAAAAGATTCATGTAATAACTCGGAATGCTGCAATTTTATTAATTATTGGATAAACAAAAAATTTAGAGAATTAATAAGTAATGATTTTAATACAAAGTGGTACTTATTTCGATATTTCTTGGAATATGTTCATTATAATAATAATGACGATAAATATAACAGATGTATACACGATATCAAATATATGGATAATGATTTATTTAATAAAGTGAATAAATTATATAATTGTTATGAATTTTATGATGGTCTTATTTATTCTATTGAAATAAATATTGAGAAAGAAACATTATGTGGTTATTTTAATAATTTGATTAAGGAATATAACGAAATAATACAGGATTATAATGTAAAAGATGATACCATTTTGGTTAAAGAGTTAAATAACATTAGATGCTTAATTGAAAATGTTGATTGGAAATCCACTGATGATTGCATGGATGAGTTACCAAGGTTATCTAATAATTATGATTCTAATGATTATGATGACACATGCAAATCGTTAAAAGAAGAAGGTTATATACAAAGATATTCTAGGCGTTTCGTTGTAGATTTTCTACCTCCTTCCCCTGATACTAATACTAGCATAATAGCTATAATAAGAACATTATTTATCAGTATTATTGTAGGAGTAATTGTTTTGGGTCTCTATAAGGTTAATTAAAATACTGTTTAAAAATAATAATGATATAAAAATATTTTTACATTATATTAAAAATAAAATTATATTAATAAATCATTATAAAAAAAATCATTAAAATATTTTTACAATATTAGTTTAGACTGTTCAGAATGTATTTATACCCCATTATATTAAGAATGAGAAAGATGTTAACGAATACATATGATGAATCATACGAGCAACATATTAGTGAATATGATAATAATACTATGGATTTAGAAGAAAAAAAGTATAACATTATATATATTTCTGGGAGCAAATACTAATATACTTATATTAAAAGAAAAACATTATTTTGTGTAATTATAGTAAAATAATATATAGTAATTAGTTAGACACATAATAAACTACAAAAAAATATGTATGAACCTATAATATATATAATTAACTTTAGGGTAGAGTGTTTAAATTTTAGGTATTCTGATTTGATTGTGTGTATGTTGTTATTTTTAAAATAATATTAGATATATTTAATTTCGCGTATTCACTATAATTTTCAGTAATTGCCTTTTTACAAATAGGTTCACCATATATTTCTCCCATATTTGAAAATATAGGTACCATTATATTATGATAAAATAATCCAGTAAATACAACAGATATTATGTACACATATATATTGTAATTATTATTGTGTGTATATTAAATTAGTATTTTGTGTTATATGTTTATTTGGAAAATTATT